GGTTAGGGTGCCCATCAGTACTGATCAAGATCTCTCGACATGCTGGACTAAGGTGGAGGTACGTAGTGGCGTCGGGGTGGGGAACAAATGCTGCCTTTTTTCTCCTGTAACAACAATAACTATAGAAATACTACGTATATATAATAACTCCATGGCGCCGCAAGCAATTGAAGATATTACTACATCTGGATCTTACAGGACTTAGATCACGAATGCCTCATTGTAATACGACTTAGTGATCAAATATAACTGAGGCCGCAGCTTACCCCATTAATTACAACTGCACACCCCATTTTTGGTACTTTCTTTCAGGACTCTATTCTAACTCAAACCGAACTCAACCTACGCCCTCAGGAAAGTTTTGAATACTTCAGAATCTGTACAGTCCTCCCATGGGTACCCAATCTCCCTCAGAAATTGTTGCAGTTCGCATACCTCGTCGTCCGGACACAGGATACCCGTCAACACCTGGCCAATATCTCCACCGTAGTTACGGTACTGGAACAGGCTGATGTTGTATTTCGGCCGTAGCGTCCGAAGGAATCTCTCCAGCGCACCGGGCCGTTCAGGGAAGCGGAACATATATAGCCGTTCGTTCGGAACGCTGGACTGGCCGCCCACCATGTAGCGGAGATGGCTCTTCGCTAGTTCGTCCCCAGACAAGTCTGTCACGCCCATGGTCCCCGACTGTTTGATGCGGCTGATGATGCTCTGCAGTTCCTGGGCGCGCTGGCTTCCCGGTGCAGTGAGCGAGATACCAACCAACACGTTGGCTTCGGTTTCGTTGGCGTACCGGTAGCTGAACTCAGTTACGGAATGAGGCATGACGGCGTTGATCAGCTCGGCGAACGCACCGGGGCTCTCGGGGATCTTGGCTGCTAGGAGCGCCTCCCTCCCTTCGCCGTATGTGGCACGGGCGGCGACAAAACCCAAGCGGTCGAAGTTCATGTTTGCGCCGGAGGTGATGGCGACGACGGACCTTGACGGATCGCCGGATGGGTTGGCGGCAACCCATTTCTTGAGGCCGGCAATGGCCAAGGCACCGGCGGGCTCAACGACGGACCGGGTGTCCTCAAACATATCCTTGATGGCGGCGCACGCCTCATCCGTCGTTACCCGAACCATCTCGTCTACCACTTCTTGGCAGATGCGGAAGGTCTCCTCACCCACGGTCTTGACCGCTGCCCCGTCTGCAAATAGACCGACGTCCTTTAGCAGTATGCGCTCGCCCTTCGAGAGAGACTGGGTCATTGCGTCCGCATCGTAGGTCTCCACGCCGATGATCTTGACATGCGGCGCAATGCGCTTGACGTACACACCGACACCGGCAATCAGGCCGCCGCCGCCCACGCAGCAGAAGATAGCGCGGAGTTTCTGAAGGTTCGTCTGGGAGAGGATTTCCATACCGATGGTGCCCTGGCCGGCGATGACATACGGATCGTCAAAGGGCGGGATGTTGATCAGGCCGCCCTGCTTTTCCCGCCGAGCGCACTCCTCCTTGGCTTCGTCAAAATCCTCCCCGTGGAGCACGACATGGCCCCCCATCCTCGACACGTTGAGATGCTTGATGCTGGGTGTACCCTTCGGCATCACGATGGTGGCCGGAATCTTCAGCTTCCTGGCGGAGTAGGCCACGCCCTGCGCATGGTTGCCGGCGCTGCAGCACACCACACCCTTCCAGGACTCGGCGCGGTCCAGATGAGCCATCTTGTTATAGGCACCCCGCAACTTGAAGCTAAAAACGGGTTGTTCATCCTCACGCTTCAGCAGCACCTTGCATTCCAGGCGGTTGCTAAGGTTGACCGCGTGGACCAGGGGAATTTCGCTGCATACCTCCCTGACCCGGGGGTACGAGGTGATGATGAGGCGCAAGTACTAGAACCCGTTTCAGTCACACCTCCGATGGAAAACGTAGAGCGCCCTCGCCGTGGACATAAAAGCCTTGGGGGTCGGTGGGCTGGGCAATGGCGATGCGGTGGTGCAGGCGGCGGTGGAGGTCTGGGTGACTCACATCGGGATAGCCATTCGGCAAGAGCAACTCGTCAGGAACAATCTTCTTTATATGCGAGTTCCGGCCCTCGACCGAGGCCATTGGCTTTGCGCTGTATTCGGTGAGTGAGAAACTGGTCAGGGACGGTGTCCTGGCCAGGGGCCCATCGCTGTGAGTAGGTGTTTGTGTCATCGTCTGGGGGGTTTGGGTTGCTTGGGTAGTGCTACCGGTACTATTGCCGGCAGCATTTTCTTCCACCCCGTTGACCTCAGAGAGATCAATGGTATTTGAGGAAGCCATGATCCGATTGCAACCTCGAGAGTCTTGAGTTTCGAGTTTTTGACTTTGGATGTTTCTGAAAGAGCGATTACAAGCTCCGTTTTCGGCAGTCTTTGGGGTTGAGCGAGAATTTTAGTGGGGCACTGTGCATCATCTTGGCGTTTTGCCTTGGCTTCTTGTTTCGGCGGGGCAGGTGTGTTCATGCTTGAATGTCTAATACAGATATGCGTTGCGAGAGGGTATACGGATTAGCGCGCCTGAAGCTGGTATATCATTACAGTACCATAAATTCCTACTGGCTTGAAATATGGTAGAAGGCTACTTCATAGATTTATTTTTCAGCAGACTTTCCTTGATGTTGTAGTTTTCAGACCATTCGTCTGTTTTTGACGGTGGCCGAGGGGTTCGACAAGTGGCCTGTGCCTTTTACCCCACAATTGTAAGTGAGCCGGGAGCCGTAGAAATCCGGGCCTTGCTGCATTAATTGCGGTTGCGAATTCAACAACCATCCCATACTCGAGACTACACCACCCGATAGGATAGCGAGACCCGGTGAAACCCCAACATGTCCGACCGACCGTTATCCGGGCGTCCGCTGCCGTCGTCCTTTGACGGCAATGAGTAAGCCAGCCAGAACGCCCTTCTTTCCCCTCGGCCGCGAGTACACAAGGGCTCACATGGGGCCCGCGCAGGGATTTCTACAACGAATCTGGGTCTCAGAAGATCATCCGGAAGCTCAAGGAAGAGCCGTTAGTTCCGATCGGTTGTATCCTAACAATTGCCGCCTTCACGAATGCCTACCGAGCGATGCGCCGCGGCGACCACCACAAGGTCCAGCGCATGTTCCGCGCCCGTGTCGCCGCACAGGGTTTCACAGTGCTAGCCATGGTCGGAGGTGGCATGTACTACGCCGAGGACCGCAACAAGCGGAAGGAACTTGGAAAGCTGAAGCAGCAGCAGGAGGCCGAGGAGAAGCGGCAGAAATGGATTAGGGAGCTGGAAGCGCGCGACGAGGAAGAGAAGGCGCTGCAGGAAATGATGGACAAGAAGCGGAAGCGGGCTTCTGAGCGCACAATGCGCGCCGAAACCGGTAGCGAGGGCATCGCGGCACAGGCGAGAGCCGCTTTTAAGGACAAGGCCAACAAGGGTGAGGCGGCGGGCGCAGAGAAAACCGAAGCTCCCAGTCAACGGGCGGATAACGAGAAGAAACCTGCTGGTTCTGGGTTTCTTGGGGGTTGGTTCGGCGGTTCAAGCAAGACACCAGAAACTCCAGCCAAGGACACAAAAGGCAAAAATCTCGACTCCGAGAGCTCGAGCTGATTGGATATAGGCCAAGAACCGTTTCACGGCTTTTGACGTGTAAGTGTACGCCAAAGGGTGCGGTACAAATTTGTAATATATCAAATAAACTAGGCGTCGGCCCTTGAAAAACATAGCATTCTCGTCCATTTGTAGCCGTTCCGAGCAGCACCTCGGTCAACTAGGATAATATCTGCTTTGTTGCTAACTAGAAGTGTACATCAAGGACAGCAAGTACCACGATAGACCGATCCCTCAAACTCCCTGACATCGTAACACACTTACCGCGAGTGATTTCCCCGTCTAAGCCATACTACCGCCGCTCCGATTTGCCCCGACTAAACCAGCCATCTCCAACAAGGCCCGATCTGCTTCAAGGTCACCAGTCCCGAGATTAATCTTCCTTCTCGCCTCCGCTTCCCTGGCCTCCCAAGCCCAACGCTCAGCCTGGTGCTTGGCCTCCTCGTCTCCGCCGCAGCCCCATACCTCAATGCTCGAGATCTCAAACCGCTCCTGGAAGTCGAACTTCCTTTCCACACTGGTCTGGAATGCACCCCCTTGTGACGTGTAGTTGTGCGTGAAGCATCCGAACTCGAAACTATCTTCGAGGGCGAGTGAGACAGGCCCGAGTGACATGATGTTGGAACGGCGGTACGCTTGGGTGGGTTGCGGGGGCGGGCAGCCGAAGGATACGCCCCCCAATGGCGCGGAGCCTGATGGCTTTGTGAATGATGCGTAGTCTTTGTTTACCGTAGACGCGCGGAAAACGTCGTGGACCGGCTCCAGTTGGAACAGAACACTGTCTTCGTTGCCGAAACATTCTCGGTGAGTGTGTTTCCAGGTCTGGCTTAAGTAGACCCCGAATGTCACCCTTTCGTGTTCGTCATCGCTCCTGTTACCGGGTGGAAAGCGCTGCGAGGGTAGAGTCGAAAGAAACGTTGAAGCGGGGCCTGAATGATCATGGAGTGCCTCAGCCGGAAGCCTGGTTCCGCTCATAAGCAGGATGGTTGGCGCTCTCCAGTTAAAGACCTTCGACTCGAAACTCCCCATGCTGAAACCATCTTCATCACCGGAGTACAAGAGACGGAGCCTGCGAAAGAGGGATGGGCCCGGGATAAAAAATGATATCTGAGATAGAATGCTCAGGTTCATAATTGACCCGGTATTCTCCAGCAATGGTTGAACCGGTTCCGGTGGCGGTTTGGCGGGTTGATCCTGGTCATCGACGCGACGGTGGAAAGTCCAGGTTCTTGGAAAACAAGAAATGCTCGAACAGGGCATTAAGACCGTCAAATAGAAACGGCATCGATGCTGGGATAACCGTGTTGAAACGTGAAAACTTGACGCCAGAGTACCTGTTCGTTGCTGCAGAAGGCCGTAAGCACGCAGCCAGCCGTCTTCCGCAGCTGTTCCAGTTCATCCCCGGATAGCCGACTCGAGTACGAAGATAGGCTCTCTTGCGCGTCCAATGGCGCTACCAAGAGGAGAAGCATGATGAGTTTTTGAAAGTTAACCGCCGGTATCATGGCGTCATGGGTGACGGGAAGCCCCCCGTGCTTGAAGGCACTGATGTAGTCCAACGAATCGAATGCCGCAAGGACCAACTCGTCACCGTCGTCAAGCCCCGGGTCCTCATCATCCCCAGGTTCGTCGATAGCAAAGCCCGAGTGCGACGTAGAAATCGGGACTGGGCCTCTACGCTGGCCAGTTCCGGTCTTATCAGTCTCCACGCTTGACTCAGCGCGCTCGTCCACTTGCATCTCGGAGAGCTTGCGGTCGTAGACTGCCAAACTTTTGAAGAGCAGTTTCCTCCGGTTTGTGACGCCGCTGGTCAGGACTCTCCGATATCTCTCTGTTAGAATCGTAACAACCATGACCATTTGCTCCAGACCCAGGACAGCAGGGGCATCCTGAAGGAAGGGAAAAGCGCCGAGGTAGGACACCATCTGGAAAAGCACAGGGGTCACGTCAAGGGCATCGGGGACCTCGAGATATCGTGCAATTGTGCCTTCTTTCAGATAGCGGACCTCGTGTTCACGGTCGGCGAGGCTGTTGAAGACATCCTTGAAAGAGTATAGCTCAAGGGGGGTAAAACACTTTTCCGCAAACTTGTTGGCCTATACAGATATCAGAAAACGGTGGAATTTCGGTCGGCTACCGTGAGAACACCCAGCAGCGCGGATTAAAATTGAAACGCTCACCAGTTCTTTAGTTAGCTCCTCGTGGGAGCGAGGAACGGGGTCCTCGTTCGATAAAGCTTGCCCCATTGCAAATGTCAGGACCGGCCTGAAGGCATTGAGCGAGGGACGTGTCGCAATTGGGTTACTTTGAGCGAAGCCGGTTTGGCCGGGGCATTTCTGTGATATTGGGGGTCCCCGGCGGAGGCGAGGGAGTCTTCTAACATCAATAAGCGTGGACGTTTAAAAGTGGTGAAGGCGCAACGGAACGGGAAAGGCGATCGACTAATCGTGGGTTGGTTCCAGCCCTGCGCTTGGTTGCGGCAGAGGCGGCCCCACCTGACGATTCAGGGCCACTTCAGGTCAGGTATTTATTTGGATGCGGGAACTTTGGACATGGACATCCTGGCATTCCCGTCACGACCAAAGCAATCCCGGAGCATAGGTATGTTGACCGCCCATGCTCCCCTTCCCAGACGTTTTGTCGAAATTCGTGCGTCACGGGGATTTCTGAAGAATACAGACAAGCAAGAGCAACGTAGAGCACCAGCGCAGGGCATTATCTCTGCGAGGCGGGCCAGTTATAGCGCAAAGGGTTTTTGTCCTGTGCCGCATCCATTGAACTGGCGAGCCTGACGTATCACCACAGCTCGAATAGCAACGGGGATGGAGGGGCTCCTTCTGCGTGTAAGTGGAATGCGGGGCAGTTGCAGGGTATCCTTGCCAGGGAGGCCATGATCGCAGCCCAAGCTGCGTCACTGTTGCTGGGTCAGGGTTGCCGTGTGCGTCGAAGAGTGGGGTGATCCAACCTATCGCTTGTTACCGCCCTTCCTATAGGGAGCTTGCAGATGCATCATGTCAAACAAGGAGGAAGAGGTCGGGTGCTGCCCAAATACAAAGAAGCCTTGATACCTGCCCCGCTCGTCTCCTCTCGTTCTTCTCCAGCTTCAACGTCTTTGCTCTCATTTCCCCTATCCCCAAAGCACGCCCACCACCCGACATACCACAGAAACTTGAAGCATTCATTGCACCATGGCGGACGAAAACACCAAACCCATCGACACGAGCCCTATCTCTCCCGGTTTGCCCAACCCGGCGCGGAAGAACTCTCTTGAGTTCCACCTGAGCCACCGACCGGATCGCCAGGAGCTTGTTAACAGTATGTGGCATGTCGTCATTCCCTTCTCTGGCTATCCATATTGTGCACGGAAGGCTGACACCGTGCCCCTCCGCGCCACACAGAGAACATCCTCCCTGCGTCGACGGCCGCCCCAGGCCTCCAGGCGCACCAGAAAGATGTGAGTGACGGGTTTGGGCGACGCCATCCCTTCTTGTCGGTGCCGCAGGCCAGATTCAGCTGACCCGGTTGTGGTACGCACAGCTCGAGAAGCACATGCGCGCCGACTCCCTGAACGAGAAGATTGCCCACCGACCATCCCCGGAGACGCTGCTGAAGGACGGTGTTCTTCATGACGACCCGCGCTCGGCAGAGGATAAATACACCGAGGCAATTGAAGAGGAATACGCCAAGCGGGAGGGCGGCGCTTGAGAAGCATGTCCCCATGCTTGGGGTGTCTTTTTGTAGGCGGGCTTACGGAGTACACTTGGGCTTTTTGGGCTTTGGTTTTCCCTGATATCGTGCTAGTACTTGCTCAGCTACCGAGATATGAGTTTTCGAATGTGTTAATTGCCGGGGCATTCTCCCTCTGTGAGACGAGATACTGTTTCGTTTCAATCCGCATGATCACCAGTATAAACAGACCACACCCGGGACCTTGGGTATCGGACGCAAGAAGCAACATCGCTGATTGGCAGAAATCACACGGAAACTGCTGCGGGGATTCAGCCGTCCACACATGCTCCCTTTCCGTTCTCACCCACTCTCATGAATTGGCCGTCTCCTTTTTGACAACCCCTCATCTGCACTCCTCCCTCCAGCCCTCCAATCAACCAAGGCGGAGATTTCCCGCGACATTGCACTGCACCAGACATGCATGAACCACCTCGATTGTAACAGTGGGGTTCGATCTCCCAGATCTTGAATATCTGAGTCAGTCGGACAGACTTCACGACATGCCACGAGGTTGTCACCGGTGGAAGCTCACTTGTTATTGGTTATTGCCTTAATAATGGCAAGAGACCAGCGAGCTCGTACGGTCATCGACGACTTCCACATGCACATTGCGGCTTCAGACATGTGATGTGGTTGCATCAACAAGAAAATGTTCCAAATTCGCTATTAAACTCTAGTCCAACCCAAAGGCACGAATAACCCAAGCCGCCGACCACTTTGACCCATTGCTGGGGGCGGGCCTACTTTGGAAAAGCCCGCCGGTGGTCCCGTGTACCCGAAAATGCTCAATAAACAACCAAACCAACGCCGGAGACAGGGAAATGCCAGATGAAGTACACCACACCGCTCATGCTGCAGATTGGGGAGATAGCACAGGCCCACCCGGTGTTTACTTCTTGTCCTGGATCAGCACGGTGCCGGCGCCGCCGCGGGAGCTCGGGATATCCTTGATAGATTTGTAGAAGCCGTCTGTGGACTTGTTAGTCGGTTGGGAAAGAGAGGTATGGTAGCCGGGAAAAGGAGATGCGTACCTGCGGCACCGGAGCGGTATTTGGTCTCGATAACGCCGTGGGAGCTGGCCAGGTAGTCGGAGGTTCTTGAGCCGGACCCCGAAGAGTAGGAGATTTTAGGGGGCAGGCGGTTCGAAGGGTAGCCGCCGGAGCTGTACGAAGAAGACATGGTTGTGTTGGGTGAAAGATGTGACTTGGGTCAAGTGATGGCGGGTTGCAAAGGCGGTTGGTTCACTGCGGAGAAGATGCTGTGATGGCGGATGCGGAATAAGGGAAACATTGCGAGAAGAGAGAAGCGGATGATATAAATACTGAAGACCATGCTACCTAGTTTGTATCTGGTGCTTGAGAGAGTAGGTAACTTGGGGCGCGCATCAGGAGCTTGTTGAGGCGAACAGGGGCATGGCTTGGAGGGGTTCCTAAGGCACACACCAAGGCCGTTGGTGCCTTGTGTGTATTTCGTCGCTCATCCGGCTACGAAACACCAAAAGTGGAGAGGTAGAATGAGTCAATGCCCCAGGTGAGCAGTCGCGACTCTGAGGCTTGACCTTCACCGTGGGTGGCGTAGGTTGGGGTTCAAGGACGGGTCGCTTGGCGGCGGGACTCCAATCAACACCAAACCCCCAACGACATTCGTCTGCGCCTTGCTCCCCATTTCCGGGCAGTGGGTAACACATTGGCTAGTGAGCCTCAAAGTTCAGTGCCCTGTCAAACGAGATGAGTGTAGTGGCAAAAAAGAAAGAAAAAAAAGGCGTCCTTCACCATGACGCTGACTTGTCGGCACAGCCTCTTGTTTTACTGGCCAGGCGTGAGAGACCTGTGTCGGTGAGGACGGGGGCAGAGAGCAGGGCTCTTCGGAACCCGCCGAAGCGTTTGGTTCCTGAAAACCTCCATTGGCACGTTTGATTTGGCCGCGCAATTGAGTTGGCGAAGATGGGCGTTCTGCCTGCTGTTGCCTTAAAGTCCAGAGCCCAGACTGCGTTGCTTAAAGCTTGCCGCTTTCTTTTTTGTGTGGCTGGGAAAGTGACTCACCGAATCATCCCTGATATCTAGGCTACAATGGCCCCTCGCCTCAGGACGGGCCGAAGCCACTAAAACCGATGTGACCGACAAAACCCAGTGTCGCTGTTGTTGTTGTTTTGTTCTTCCCGAACGGGCCCCTCACTGGACCTTTTGACTTATCAATCCCGCTGGGTCCCACCCGTTCACGTCTTGGACGGACAATCTGCCTGAAAGCTTGGCGCATGTATTCGTACAGATCTGCAACCTGTGGGTTTGTCTGATAGAAGTACCTCACTAATCGGGCTTCAAGTCATGACGATTGCTGGAGTTATCGCTGCGCACAGCCCAGACGGGACATTCAGCACACAGGCTTGGCAGTTGTGTACCTGCTTTGGCGCGGCGCGCTTGTGAAACAGTCGGTAGCGCGGTGGAGACATTGCGACTTGCTGCGTTGTCTGGGCCTACTTTTTATCAGCGATTCACCGGTGGCAGACCGACTCCACCATGGCTGGGCGTGTGCTCTGGTCCTGACCCTGGTTTTTGGATGATCTGGCTGGATCGCCGACTGCCCGGTGCTCGCCTGCCCGAGACGACTGCTTCCAATTCAACAAAACCAATTTCACCGATCTTCCGAAACGAAAATCGCCCGACTTTACACAGCCTCGCCTTGCCGTCCGCCTCAGTTTCCTTCAAGATGCAACACCTTCTTTTGTCCCTCTCCCTGCTCGCCTCGGCTGCCGTTGGCGCCCTGGCTTCAGACGACTTGAAGATCGATGTCACGCTCCCGGTCGAGTGCGAGCGCAAGACCCAGAAGGGCGACACCATCAACGTCCATTACCGCGGCACCCTCCAGTCCAATGGCGAGAAATTCGATGCGAGTAAGTCCGCTGTGCCCGAGCCCTGCGCCGACTCCCCTTGCCACCTTGCTTGGGGCGTAATCTTGAAATGAGGCTGACGAGTACCACCCGTGCCAGGCTATGACCGCGGGACACCCTTTAGCTTCAGATTGGGTTCTGGGATGGTGATCAAAGGGTAACATTCCCAACGGAAGAATCAAATGTTTGGGGGCAAACGCTGACAAGAAGTAGCTGGGATGAGGGCTTGCTCGACATGTGCATTGGCGAGAAACGGACTTTGACTATCGGCCCGAGCTACGGCTACGGGGACCGGAACATCGGCCCCATTCCTGCTGGGTCTACTCTGAGTATGACTTTTCCTTTCCCGCCCACTTTGGTCCCATTTTCCATGTCTCCCAACCGTACTAATATCGCCTGACTTGCTAGTTTTCGAGACCGAGATGATGGGCATCGAAGGCGTCCCCCAACCCGAGTCGATTGTCACCAAGTCCGCTACCGACAGCCCGGCGTCTTCAGCGAGCGAGAAAGTGGCCGAGAAGGTTGCGAGTGCCGTGAGTGAGGCCGCCGAGGCGGTGAAGACGGTGGTGGCCGATACCGATGATGTGCAGGAGCACAACGAACTCTGAGCTACTCGAGCGCTGCATAGGAAGGGCATGACGGACCTGTAGCTCAGCATGGCAATCTGTTACGAAATAATTGGGTTATGTTATGGGATACCGTGGCGTTGCCGCAGCTATTGATAGATAATCTTAAACCATTGCTGTTAGGAATCCATCGACGGCTACCTCACCTTTATGAGATGGTTGCTGTTTAGTCATCCCGACCACCGATCTCGCGCCACCTTCTTGTGCCAAACCGCTGGTTCGGCACCGCCGACTACCGCAACCACCCAATGAAGAAAGGTTCGGCAGGGAGGACAATGTGGATGGTTTACGACATGGACGCATCTAGATTTGGAGCAGAAGCCTCTGTTGGCTGATGCGCCATTGGGTTGTGGAACCGATCAGAAGACATGGGTATGCCGGCATCGCTGGGGCGGTCTGAAAGATCAACTCGCCGGTTTGTTTTCTGCCACCATGGAAACGCTTATCAGCGTGAAAGCATATGCGACTTACTGAGCCATCTCGTTAGTGTAGGGGCGTGGAGTCGACAACTGCGCGTATGCACAAGCGGTAGTTATTGCCGATCCGGCCGTCTGTTGTTTAGGACCGCAGCCCGGAGACACGACTCACCGATGACACTAACTTGGTTCACTGATGTCATCTTCCATGACATGACAAAGCTCCTCTCCCACCCAGCCAGGCCATACAGCACGGGCTCTTCGAAGATTCCGTCCGTATCAAGTCGCATATCATCAACAGACACGTCTTGCTCCAGTTTTGCCCTCGTCACCCTCTCCGCCTTCCTATCCTCTTCACTGCTCCTCGTTGCGCTGCGCTGTGTTGAGGATGCCGCGCCCACACGACCACAATAACCCACGCGATAGCTCGAGATGCTTGCGGATGCGATCTTGGCTTCCGCCTATGAATTTTATCACGATTCATTATGCGTACTTCATCATCGGGTGCCTCGTCTCGTCGCTGATCTTCTGGGGCTCGTCCAACCCGGCTCGGAGTATCAGCTATACCGATAGCTTGTTCCTCGTCGTCAGCGCCATGACGGAATCCGGGCTCAACACTGTCAACCTTAGCCTGATGACAACATGGCAGCAAGTGCTGCTGTTCCTTCTGATCATCTTCGGCAGTTCCATATGGGTCTCCATCTGGACCGTCGTGGCGCGGAAGCACGTCTTCGAGCAGAGGTTCCACGACATTGTCCTCGCCGAGCGCACGCGAAGGGCGAACCAGCCTGGGAGTGCTGGTAGTCCGCCGAGGCTTGACCGGTTTCTATCATGCCGAAGGGCCTCCACGACAACCCTACCACCGGTCAGGACAGAAACTGCTCCAGACGTCCCCGCCGGTGGCGACGTAGCCGCCCTTGCCGTTGACGCTAAGGCGCCAAGGGGGAAATCGCCCAGCCCCGACCGCATCGCCTTCGCCAACACTCCCAACCCCATCGACGCGGTTTCTACGGCCGCCCAGCACTATTCCCGGGAGAACCAGGCAACTCGGAGGAACCATGGCCGAGAGGGTGGTTCAACAGTCGACCAAAAGGACAACGAGTTCAGCATGCACCAGCTTCTCGCCGGCAAGTCAGGTGGGAGGAACTCCCAGTTCCACGGCTTAACCACCGAGGAGCGCGAGCGCCTGGGCGGCTGCGAATACCAGGCTCTCAGAGTGCTCTCCGTCATCGTGCCTGTGTACTTCATTCTCTGGCAACTTCTCGGATGCCTCGCGCTGGGAGCTTGGATCAACCACAACCTGCCAGGGCCGCCGCTCGAGAATGGCATCAAACCCTGGTGGCTAGGCATCTTCAACGGCGTGTCTGCTTTCAACAACTCGGGCATGTCCCTGTTGGACGCGAACATGATCCCGTTCCAGAACTCTACCTTCGTCCTCCTCACGATGGGCTTGTTGATCCTGGCGGGAAATACGGCGTACCCGGTTTTTCTGAGGCTTATTGTCTGGTCGCTTCGGAGGTTGCTCATCTTGCTCACCAGGGAGGACGACTACACGAGGCTAAAGGACACCCTCAAGTTCATCCTACGCTACCCCCGCCGCGTGTACACGAACCTCTTCGCTGCCCGCCCGACCTGGTGGCTCGTCTTCATGCTCATCCTCCTCAACTCCATCGACTGGGTTGGGTTTGAACTTCTGAACCTCCGTAACCCGGCGATACAGCAAATACCGCCCAGCTCCCGTATACTGGATGGACTCTTCCAGGCTCTAGGTAACACTTATTATTCCCGTGTCCTATCATACTTATACAACACAAGCTAACCAGCCATCTTGCTCAGCGGTGCGCTCAGGGGGTTTCTATGTGGTGTCCATCCCGTCGGTCTACATCGGGCTGCAGGTCTTGTACGTCGTCATGATGTACATTTCAGTGTACCCAGTCGTTATCACCATGCGGCACTCCAACGTGTACGAAGAGCGCTCACTCGGCATTTACACCGAGGACGAAGCCCCCACGGAAGACCCCGAGAAAGCCACCGCCGATTCCATCCACAGCCGTCGCCGCCACCGCGGCAACAGCAATAGCAGCGTGTCGGCCGCCCTCGGACGAGTCATCAGCCACGCATTCACACTCCACGGCGTAGGCGCCCGGGCACCGCCGCCGCCCAAACAAGGCCCGGAATCGCACATCAACTTCATCACGCAGCAGATCCACGGCCAGCTGGCGCACGACATCTGGTGGTTGGTGCTGGCGATCCTAGTGATCGTGACGATCAACACGGACCGGTTCCTGGCGGACCCGGTGCGCTTCAGCGTGTTCAACGTCATCTTCGAGGTGGTGTCGGCGTACGGCTGCGTGGGCATCAGCGTGGGCGCGCCGGGCGCCGACTACAGCTTCAGCGGCGCGTGGCATCCGGCGTCTAAGTTGGTGCTGTGCGCCGTCATGCTCCGCGGCCGCCATCGCGGTCTTCCGGTTGCGTTGGATCGTGCTGTGCGCCTGCCGCGCGAGGAGTTGCACCGGGAGGAGGAGGAGGATCAGTGTATCAGGCGGAGTATGACGACTCGAAGAATTAGCGTCGAGGTGTAGACGGACGGTGTTGGTCGAGTATGGGGTGGTGGTGGTGGTGGTGGTGTGGTGCTTTTGGGTAAGAGAGTTAAAGTGTTGTTGACAATCGTGGCTGGCGTTTTGGATAGGTAGCAAGGTGTTGGCGGTAGGCTGGTATTCGAGCAATGGGTCACAGGAAAATAGACGGTGGGGTGAGGCATATATGGCGAAAAAGGTTTAGACGGGTTAGGACGGTGTTATGGACTGGGAAAAGGATGCGGAAAACAAGGGTGGGGATTGGGACTCGAAATAATATAAACGTCTTTAATACGATCTGAGGAAGGGTTTATGTCTCATTATGCCATTCAGTCATCGGGCCGTTAATCGCCAGCTAAAAACTACCACCAACAAACACATCGTTAACCAAAACAAAGGCGCTTTTGCCTGGGATCTGCTGCTGCTGACGGGCGCCCCCTTTTCTTCTCCCTCGTCTTCTGGGCTTCGGGTATGCTTCGTTCGAGCTGCCGCCGTTGCGGTTGCTGCGCAGCGGAGTCTTGCTGGACGGTGTCTCGGATAGTTTGTCGCGACAAACACAAATCGATATGCTCGTTGAACTGGCGCTCATCCGCAGGCTGCGGCCTAGCACAAACGGGACAGTCCCATAGCTCCTCCTCTTCGGCTGCTGGAAGTTGTTCTTTTGTAGGATTGGGTACTATCTCCTTTCCGTGTTTTCGATGAGGACTGTCCACCGCCGGGTTTCCACCAGACGCTGGGTTGTTGGCTTCTTCTTGAGGCCATTGTTGCCATTCACCTTCACCACCGGCTCGTATGATTCCGGACCCGCTTCCGTCCTCCCTTGATCCCGCTGATTTGGGCCTCTGTGGCCTTAATCCAAAGAAGGCTCTTGTATCCGGCTTCTTCGTGCTGACGAGCTGCGTGCATCGTAGCCCCATCAGCCGTAGTTTCATGCCGGGGATTTCCTGCTCAAGTTTTGCGAGCATCGGCAACGAGTAGTTGTATAGATCATCGGCCAAGTGCACCGCTTTTGGGGGCACGACCTGGCGTGTGAGGACCTCAAAGGTGTGCAGCTTGACCTTTAGGCAGAGTGTACGCCCTTTGCACTCGGCCTTTCGCATGTCTGATTCCAATTCTTCGGCGGTCCGTCTTAGCTTTTCGCGTAGTAGGGCAGGATCTCCCAAGTCCCGGAATGTCCTCTCTGTGCCGACGCTCTTGCGTTCGTAGTCCTCGGCGGGCTGAATATTGGTACGACCTAGGCCGAGATGACAATGGAGGAGGAACTCGTATGCCTTTTGCCCAAAAAGCCGATCTAGGTACTGTCTTTGTGCGTAGATATCGCCACAGGTCTTGATGCCCACGGATGCCAGTTCTCTCTCTAGCACCCGTCCAATGCCATTCACCTGGCGACATGAAAGATCGCGCATGAACGACATGATAGCCACCCGATCGCGCGGCAGGACGAACTGCCCATTGGGTTTGTTCATGTTGGAGCAAATCTTGGCTAGCCGGGCGTTGGCAGCAATGCCTGCCGAGACGGTGATATGTGTCTTTTCGTGGATCTCGCTCCTCAGCTTCGAGACCACATCGGCCGGATCCATGTCATGCTCGGCACAATACTCGGTGATGTTGAGGTACGCCTCGTCGATGCTGGCACTTTCAAACCGCGGGTCATATTCTGCCAAGATTTCTCGCACCTCGGCTGCCTTCGCATTGTACTTGTCAAAGTTGAGCGGGAGAAGAATCAACTCAGGGCACAGCTTCTTGGCCACAAAGCCGGCCATACCGCTGCGACATCCGAACTTACGGGCGACATAGTTACATGTGGTCAAAACACCGCCGCCCACGGCAAATGGGAGCTTCTTGAGCTCGGGCCTGTCCAGTTGCTCTACTGCGGCATAGAATGCATCGCAGTCAATGTGCACAATGTGCTGCGTCAGATCCCGCGAGAGCTCGAGCTGAGCGAGAAGGTTATCGGCTGCCCGGAGCTCCCGGGCGAGATCTAGCGTCTCGAGATTGCGCTTCTTGGCGAGGATGGCTTCGATTTTCGCAGTGAGAGACTTGTCTCTCGTCTCCTCGTGGTTGAAAAATTTAGAGCCCTTAGAAGCATTATAGATAATCTCAGAGACCTATGAAAAGAAGAAAACACTCGGTTAGCGCGGATCGGCGCTGAACGGTGTTGGGTGGGTGAGCATGCCTTGGACTGGTCGACTGAGCCTTGGCCGGCCTTTGTCAACGACGGGCCCAACAATGAATACTTGAGCGATGCATGGTCGATCGATGCGTTACTGATCTGCTTCTCGCTTTCGGCGTCCAGCTGCTGCTCTGGCTGTGGTTGCGCCTCGGATGTCATTTCCGGGGCTTGCTTGTGCGTATTCCGAGTCGTGGTCGACGGGTAGGGTTGGGGGTCATGACAGCATAGCGCCCTGCACCACTGGCAGGTATGACGTTGAGACTCGCCGACGGAAAGACAAGACCTTCAAGCCTCGTTGATGGAAGAGACAACAGTAAGACGCGGCATCGTCGCGTCTCCGGATCCCACGCTGACAACGCCAAATCACGAGGATGCCAATCCGGACCCCACTCACTCTACGCGAAACGCACAGACCAACACTTTAAGTGTTTCGCGTCTCTGATGCGTCGCGGTCTCCCCTCCATCCGTTATCCTATCCCCTCGCCTTGGTTCTGTGTGTCGCTGTCAATATCATTAGGCGAGTTACCTCACGCATCTCCTTCAAACATTTTCAGGCCTTGATAACTGGTTTCCTTTGCATCAATTGACATCACCGAGGCCGTCTAATTGTCAGGCCATTACCAATTCCTCTCCTTTAGCAGTTATTGTACCGTGGGGCCTTGCTAGTTCTACGCATCTTTGATCTAAGATGGTACTCAAGCGCAAGAGATCGGACTCCGGCATTGGGCCAGTGTTTTCGTCGACGGAAAATTTAGACAGCAACTGCTTCAACTTTGACGCCTTGTCAGCGATGGACACGGCAAGACGCGGATTTTTTGCCCCACGACTGTCCACAACCTCACATTTGCCCAGCCGCACAATGAAGCGGTTCCGCGACAATCGGCCGTCAGAAACAGAGGTGCATCGTAAGTTTGGCCAATGTCAAACAACCCCGCTTACCTCAATTGCAACCGCTTACCCAGATCTCTCGCTTCCAGAACACACGCTAGAGGTCCTGTTCTCCGCCCAACGCCGACCACACGAACCTCAGTACGCGGCACCAGAATCTCCCAAAACGATAAACACTAGCGCGTTCCTGCAAATCCCCGCGCAAACCTACCATACCAGCCAGCAAAGGTCCTTGCACAACTTCTGGAGCTTGCCTGGGCCGGCAACGTCGACGAACTCGCTGGCCTCCTCGCCTTCCTCTTCCGCCGTGTCACCTCCGTCGCCGGCCCTGGCGCCCCGAAGTACACCGACGGACTGCGAGGATTGCGGGCTGAGGTTGGCTGGGGGAGACGATGGCGATGTGATGATGGATATCGACGGTTATGGGTCTAGCCCTGACGATCACATTTGCGGGGCGTGCGGTAAAGCTGTCTGCTTTAGCTGCTCCATCAGCAACCTTGGCGAGCATCGGCGCTGCTTGGCTTGTGCTGGACCAAGGGGCGGGGTGGGCGGGAACCAGTGGTTAAGGCGGTAGTTGTGGGGTGGTGCATACTGACGTATGCCGGTCTGGTTTGTCTGTGGGCTTGGGGGTTGTGAATGGATAGATACCTGGCGGTTGGATTGTTGGTTTGGTGTGGGTTGGCTTTTTCATGTATCGGAGTTTGGCGTTTAAAGCACAGGCGTGGGATGCGTGTTCACGCCAAGTCCCCTCTCGGGAGTGCGGTACCCTTAAAGGGCCATTTCTTGCTGGCATCAAATGTCACCACGAGTATTCAAGGCGACACTTGCCAGGTAGCACGTATAACAGAAATACAGGGTGAGACAAGCGGATAATGTGGACCTAAGTCCGGGTGGCCGACGTCACAGTTAGGGACCTACCAGGGAGCTCCCCCGGTGTGCGGGGCAACGCGGGTGTGCTGGAGAACCCCGCCTCACCTGCAGCTTCCAGACCTCAACCCGTTCGTTTGACGATTTACTTTCGAGACCTATTCTCCAATCTTCTTCGGTAGCCTAACTGAGCCCAACTACTGTTCTGACCGTTGAAAATAACGAACTTGTTTCTCCTGTGGCACCAAGACACGAGTAAGATGACGACACGGGAGGCTAGCCACGCCGGATCTTGGTATGAAGGTGACCCAGAGCAGCTCTCTACCCAGCTGGACGACTGGCTGGACCAAGTTCCTGAAGCTTTAGACGGTGCCCAGCTGCCGATCGACAATGCCAGGGTGATAATTGCCCCGTAAGTCGGGCATAGATCCTTACCCACCGAATGATATGTTGATACAGGATGCGGAATAGCCACGCGGGGTACTCTTACTCCGGGCCTTGCGCGGCCTGGGCTTACAAGGCCCTCGATTTGAGATCGGCGAAACGGGTCTTCATCCTTGGACCTTCACACACCTACTACCTACGCGGATGTGCTCTCACGTCATTCGACAAGTACGAAACCCCCTTCGGAGACCTCGTCGTCGATAACGCCACGACGTCCGAGCTGCGGCAGACCAACCGGTTCTCCGAGATGCCAAAACGCAGTGATGTGAGCGAGCACTCTCTCGAGATGCATTTGCCGTACCTACGGAAAAGGCTCGAACAGACCTTTGGTGACGGAGATTACCCCCCCATTATTCCTATACTCGTTGGCGACGCGTCCGGGGACGAGGAGAAATCTTGGGGTCAGCTCCTATCAAAGTACTTGAAAGATCCCGAAAGTGCTTGGATTGTTTCGTCTGATTTCTGTCATTGGGGATCTCGCTTTACCTACCGGCCGAAATTTCGTGACGGCGTGATTCGCGACTTGGACAACGACCGCGGTGCCTTACAAGTCACTCCGGACTGGAGCCAGGTGGCCGAGGATCCTGAGAGTCCGGAGATCCACGAGGTCATCGAGGTGCTGGACCAGATGGCCATAGATGCGGTCGAGTCTGGTTCACACAGCGAGTTCTCCAAGGTTATCCGACAGACCCAAAATACTGTCTGTGGGCGACATCCCATTGGCGTCATGATGGCAGCCCTGGAAGCGGTCGCGGAAGAGAGAGGACTGGAGGGTAAAAACGGCAAGTTCAGCTTCGTTCAGTATCAAAGGAGCAACTTGGTGAAGAGGGACAAAGATTTTAGTGTCAGCTATGCGTCGGCATACGCGGTCGTCTGATGTGCCCGACGGAAAAAGCATACTCGACGGGTGATCGTACTGATAGGTAGCTGGGATTGCTGGCTGGAGACTCTTTGTTACGGGGCATGTGGTATAATGGCAGGTCGAAGACATCTTCGATGAGACGGAACTGCATGTATCCTGGTTTTCGTCGAGAGAGAAAAGAAGACTTTCAAGCGAGCCGGTTGGGGGTTTCGAAGGCGCCCGGTCTTTCAAGGGTGAACCAGGCCTGGAGCACGATACATTGTTCCAACTCATGATGGTGGCCGCGGGTTGTGATTGTCGAACTCCAGCTGAAAATTAGGGCTGATTTCTCGGGAAGCACACCAATTCCGGACAAAGCAATCGCTACCCAAAAGCTTAACCCGCGAGGCCCTGCACGTCATCGGCTTCAACCCTTTTGTTCCAAGTTTGACGATTCTCGGCCCTTCCCGAGGAAGAAATACCATTTGAAAATATTTGTATTCTGGACTGGATTTCGCCGGCATTTGCCCTCAAACATCCTTTGTTGCACTCGGCATCTGACCCAGCGGCCGTGCCTGATGATCCTCGTTCTGAAACGAGTTCTGTTGCTGGCATGGCCCGCACTGGCCCCAGCCCGTCCCCGCCAAGATCAACCGGGGTCTTGTAACCAGCCAAAGCGCCAGCCCTCCTGCTGCAGCTCTAGCAAGCTGAAGAACGAGAGCCAATCGTCAGCGGCGGTCCACCTACGATTCAGACCCCGCCGGCGCCCAGCCGAGTGTTTCTCTTTGGTCTCGGCCGTGATTGGGAATGTGCATTGTCGTCTGAACTGTGAGGGGAAAAATGCTCCGTTTCATTCATTGGGGCTGCGGGATGCTCGCTCATATGCGCAAAACGACCTGTGAGTTAACCGGCCATCCATGCTAAACCATGTTGTACCACCCACCGACTGCGTCCTTCATGTTTGCCCGCTTTTGCATTTGTTGGCTGTCGTTGGCAGAAAAAGGTCCCATGCTGACCGCGCCACAGGGCCCTAACCTTGTTTGGGATGCGACCTCCTGAGAACCCCAGCGTGTTCATTTACTGAGGCGCACCCTCCATTTGCATTTTCTTGACGAACCACTTTCTTTTTGCTTCTCGTTCCCGAGTACCCCTCGTTGTCTTTCTTCTTTTTTTTTTAGGTTTGGGATATTCGACTACTGGATAGCATCATCCTACAGAATCGCCGACTATTCGAGCACCCACGTTTCCTCCAATTGCACACGTCCCAATCTTCAGCGCTTCTGCGCTTACGTCTCCGCTGACCTCTCGAGATGAGTGTGAGTGTTCCAGTGAACCCGAACCCCAAAACCATGGAATTCACAGGGGACTAACAGTCTCTGCTAGTACGGCGGATATAACCCATATGACGGCGGCGGCAGGTACGAAATCCATGCGATCGTCTCCATGTTCAGTTCTCGAAAGGCGGGATGCATGGCGGGCTGTGGCAGTTTGCTGATATGGGGTGCTTCAGGGGTTATGGTGCGGATCCCTTCGACGACCGGAATGCTGCGCAATATGGAGGTGAGTGAACGATGACGGCCATACCGCTCCAGGTTGAGAAGTGAGCTAACTGCAGCCTGTGTGCAGCCGGAACACATGAGATGTCGGCTTTTAACGCAGGGGGTTCGCCTCAGATGGCCCAACAGGGTTACGGATGTAAGTACCTGTCAACCAAGGTACGCGCCAGACGGTGAACCTAACCACGACAATCGGCAGCCCCAAGAACACAGGGCCAAAATTCGATCCTCGACGAATGTATCGATATCCAGAACCAAGCCCACGAGCTCGAGAACAAGCTGGGGGTACTTAATGGGCTCCAGAAACGATATCTCGACGATGCGGACACGTCCGGCGGTTCGAGCACCAAACGGGACCTCGACAACATGACACAGTCTATGATGGACCAGTACAGGGCGTTGACGGATCGTGTCAGGGCTGTGAAGCGCAACCCAGAGTCCCGCGAGCGGCGGAACCAAACCCAGGTCGAAAAGACTGACCGGGACGTTAGGCGGGCGATCCAAAGATTCCAAGAGATGGAGGCAGCATCCCGCAAGGAGATTGACGAGCGAGCACAGCGCCAAGCCCGGATCGCACACCCTGACGCGAGCGAGGCCGAGATCAAGCAGATTGTGCAGAGCGATACGCAGGTTTTCCAGCAAGCTGTCTTGGGCAACCGTTCCGAACGCGCAAACCGTGCCCTTGGCGCTCACAAGCAACGCCGCCGGGAGATGGAAGAGGTTGAGAAGCAGTTGCTCGACCTCATAGAGATCCTCAGCGAGACGCAGGAGCTCTTGAACCAGCAGGACGAAATAATTCAGACGGTCGATAAGCAGATGGAGGAGACCACAGATGAGATGAAGGCTGCCAACGGCGATCTCACGGTGGCCACCTCAAAAGCCTTGTCAGCGCGCAGCAAGAAGTGGTGGTGCTTGGGTATCTGCGGTACGTTGTTGCTGGAGGAAGGGAGTTGCATCAAGTACGTTTTTCTAACTCGTGAGTTTAGTTCTCATTGTCGTCATTATCGTCGTCGCTGTAGTTGCCTATATCATGGTAAACCGCGCAGCAAACGGCGGAGGCGGAGGCGGCAACAATGACAACAACAACAATAATAACAATAACAACAACAACAATAACGCCGACACCACCGGCAGCACCGCTGGCGATACCACCGGTCAGACCGCCGGAGATAACACCGCTGCTCAGAGGCGGAGCCCGTTCCAACGGAACGTCTTGGACGACCTACAAATGAACACAGGCCGCACCGTCAGGATCTCTCCTGATGTTGTCCCGCGCCTCTCGAAACGTCTGTCCATCGCGGCCCGGCGTGCGGGGGCGACGGCCAACCAAGAGGTCGAGGCTCTGACTAAGAAGCGGTTCGTTGTTGACTGGCAAGGTGTTGATCCTACCGGGTCGGACGAATAAAAGAGTTGTGACTTTGCTCGCTGCGTCTTAGCAGTTCGTCGTGGGCGACACCGTCAGTGCACACGGGATGTGGCCGCTGGTTTTGGCGCGTCCCGTTATCGTGTCACGTCTTGGGTAGTTGGGGGGTTCTCCTGGGGACGGAGACGTTTTTTTACACCAGCCCGGTATTCGGGCTTGGTTGGTACATCTCTCTAGGTTTTGTTTTGTTCTCTTCCAGGCGTATATATCAGCATGGCGTGCCGTTGTTCGAGATATCAGGGCGTTGAATGGACTTGGGAGCGATAGCTTTCGGATTGCCTGGTTTGATGTATTAGGGAGTTGTAATAGACTTCGCATTGTCCCCCCACCTATTTTCTAGTTAAAGCTATCCGTGATGAAACCTTATGTGCCCGCCGTTGCCCCTCTTAAAACCCATCCGAATTCGCCTATTCCTCTCCCCGATACAGGGTTGCTGAATCCAACTATGTGTCTGAACGCATAATATAAAGGGGAACGGAAGAAAAGAGAAACTAAACAACATTAACGCCTATCCAATCTTGGGATGGATGAGTTTGGAACCCATCAGCGCGCCAGTGGCGAAGGGCCTAACGCGGGCCAAACTCGTATCAACAAGCCACACCACGGGGTGTGCCGACGGCGTGAATCATTAATAACCTCCTCCTTTCTCAACCCTGCGTATCGTTGCCGCCTGTCTGAGGCCGAGACGAGGCGGGCACCACGTCCCCCGGGGCGGCCCCTACAAGCTGTCCGTCACCGGCTCCGCCCAGCGCCCGCTGCCTAGCCGCGCCGGCCTCGACCACCTTCCGCAGCGTCGCCATCCGCTTCTCGAAATCCTGCAGCAGGTCGGCATACCCCTCCGACGCCGGCGCCGACCTCCCCCGTCCCATACTACCACCAGAGGAATGCATTTCAGCCTCGGGCGTCGACGTCGACCCCTTGCCCAGGGGACCGGAGGCGCCGCCACCACCACCACCACCAACTGCCGCCGGCTCCAGGCTCACCCCCTCAATCTTCAGCACCAGGTTGCCCCCCAGCCCGGGCACGGTGGCCCCCCCGGCGGCGCCCTCTTCCATGCGGCTTACGCGCGCGCTCGTCGCGGCCCAGTCCGCCGTCAGGCTGCTGGCCCACGCCACCTCGTATCCCGCGCCGTCGGCCGTCGGCTCCAGGTCTAGAAGAACCCCGCGGTCGGGCACCTCGCTGCCGTTGCCGTCGTAGGAGGCCGCGCCGTGGTGGTGCGCGAGCGCGGCCGTGAGCCGCTCCGGGTCGTCGTCGGCGAAGATGTAGTGGACTGTGGGGTGGTGGATTGTTTGGCGGTTGGAGGCGTGGGAGGTGGAGTTGAGGAGGGCGAAGACGGGTGAGAAGGGTTGCTGGGTTGGTTTGGGAGGGGGCGGTGGCGGGGGAGACGGTGCGCGAGCGGGCTCTTCGGCGGGCGCAACCGCTGTTGTGTGCGGTGTGTGGGGGCGTGAGTACGCCGCGGACGTTGGTCGGGGGTGAATGGGCGGTGTTCCTTGCCGTTCTTGTTCTCGCCGCAAGCTTGACTTGCTGGCTCGGCTGGCTACTGATGGCCGTGGGCTCGGCGGGGCCGGGGAGGTATAGGTGCCCCGAGAGACGGGGCGGTCGGGGTCGGGGATAGGCATCGCTGATTCTTTTAGTTTTGGTCAAGTCTTGGTAGTAATGGCATGCTTATGGGCGGTAGCGACGTCAAATCCTCCTGGGTTTTGATGACGGAGTGGATGTTGAACGTAGAGTCGGTGATGGTGGGGGACACATGGAACGGAGCAAAGCCACCGCTCGGGCCGGCATGTCGTGTTTGGGGATGCAATTCAATGTGGGCGATTATTGAACACGGGATGGCGGGGGCTGGGAAAGGGGAACGAGCGCAGTCAGCCTTGCAAGAGCAAAGCCGCATGTGAAAGGTGAATCAGACAATGGGAAAGGCTGCCGTCGGCATGGGCTTTCCAAGACAGTTGCCGCCTTGCTCTCTGTGCAGGGATGTCGCCGCGGCAAGATCTTATCTTATCGCTTATACCAGGGGACCGGCACCACCGCCGATCAAGCTCAGAGAAGTTCCTGGGTTCCACGAAGGGAACGTTACTAGCCATCTGAGGTATACTGTGGTTTCCTCTCTGTTGTTCCACCTCGACCTTGAGGTGTCCTCTCGTTTCGCTATCTTAACGCCTGTTGGCTTAAACAGCATTTCCCACCCCTGGCAGCACATTGTGACTGCCACTGAGGGGACTGGGTCCTCCGTAATTACTTTTGATACAACAGGCATTGATGGCCATCCCAAGCCTGCTCCTAAAAACGTGCTAAAAGTTGTAGTCTAAATGCTATGCCAGGCCATTAATGGGCTGGCTCATGGCAGTCAGGAGGCTTCAGCGGCACCTGGCAAGATGTCTATCGAGGTTTCGTTTGGTTGCTCGGTCCATTCAAATCCTGTAGTACGATGCGTTTAGCATATAATCTGGTATACAAGGTAACGAGCGCTTACTCTGCCGGCACATAGGACATTGGCCTTTGGCTGAGTCTTGCTTTATCCACTCAAGGATACAGTGCTAGAGTACGGTGAGTTAGGGGGCTGTCCTGTGTGCTAGCACCGCCAGAGGGGTCAACAAACCATGTGGAAATTGTGGCCACACTTTCCCGACACTGCAAACATAGTTGGCAAAGTACCGTCAACATAACGTGGAGTGGAACTTACAAAGGGGACAATCATCGCCGGGGTATTTACATGTCGGGCATGTCCCGTCAAAGTGGACCTGGCAGATACCGCAGACATCGTCTTCGGGAATATCCCACCGCCAGGTCGCGACAGCATTCCACTTCTTGATCGTGACTTTCATGTTGGGGGCTGATGTGTTGGATGCTTAGACAAGACGCGCAAATACCCGACGGTATCCTGTCTACTTATAAAGTTTGTGTTGAATTACGTTGGCGTGGTGACTGTTGTGGATTTGCTCGAAGCGTTCAATCCGGTCGCATGAAACAGATAAGAGAGGGAGTCCAGAAAGCTTGGCGTGCCTTCCTTCAGCCATGGCGCAATAAATACTTGATGGCCCAAGCTCCATAGGCCTGCCGGGATTTCTTCTCCCACCATCGTTGTTGCTCCCCCTCACCACCACACCAACCGGCCTTTGGCTACCGTAGCTCAATGGACAAAGGCGGTCGATTATAGCTAGAACCCCGCGCTGAGCCGAGGCTGTTACAGATTACCCAGATCTGCTTCGCTTCGAATCATACGGCGTGCATCAATTGAACCACGACCGTGAGTCAGTCGAGGTTCCTGATAAGTCGTTCTCTGGCCAGCCAAGAACGCTAAAGCGCCAAATCGCAGAAGTAACGCAGCGCAAGACCTCGGCCTCTGCCATGGCTTCTTTCGCAGCTATCCGTCCGCTGCGGGCGTCGTTATCTCGAGGTGTTGCCTCCCGGGGCCTCCCAACCAGCTTGACAGCTACCACGTTTGAGGCTCGCCGGTCCTTTTCCAACTACCTCGTCTCCCCGCAAGAGCTCGCAGATGCCCTCAAAAAGAGCCCACCCTCGCCCATATCGTCCGAGCCCCGCGTAATCCCGCTTTGCGCCTCGTGGTTTCTCCCCAACGATCCGGAGGGGCGCACCGGGATCCAAGTGTTTCGGGAGAAGCGTATCCCAAAGGCGAGATTTTTCGACCTCGACAAGGTCATCGATAAGCGCAGCCCATACCCGCACATGTTGCCTAACTCGAAAAACTTTGCCGAGGCCATGAGCGAGCTGGGCATCCGCCACGAGGACACCGTTGTGGTTTACGAC